TGTTTCAATAAGATAAAAGCAAATAAGTGATATTAGGCAGAGCTTCAAATGCAGCAGTCCCAAAAGGTCAGTTTAAGAGTGATGTAAAATAAAATGATACATTGTAGTCTTTTTATAGTTAATATACTTTAAGGCCAGAAATGAAAATTCACCCTTTTCATTTTCTAAATGCATATTATAAATCGTACAGTGAATGATTCATCCATGCACACATTGCATTTTTACTTTTACCGGACCTTACAGTGTTGGATTTCTCGCTAGTGACATGCACGAGCTAGGGCTTCAGTGATGACAGTTTTGTTGGCCAACCTGTAACTTGGTATCACCCTGGTTCCCTCGACAAAAAGCCGGTAAAGGTAAAGGATTTTACCATTGGCTTTTGGACTATTACAGAAAATAAGCTCTCTCATTTTGTTCATCATGATAATCTTTACAAATAAACACATCTTGAATGTTGAAGCCTAAATACAATTGACAGAAGTAAAAAGTTAAACGTAGGCTATAAACGAACTACACCACGGTCGCGTGACTTCAATGTCAACGTTTCAGTCTTCATTTAAAAAACATTTTCCCTAAAAGTTTGAGTTAAAATATTTTGTAAGAGCGTGATTATAAACACAACAAGGGTGTGAAAAGTGAACTATAGTGAGTACATGAGTTTACCTGTTCGGTGTGACGACGTGTAATATCCCTGACAACCTCTGTATTCCCATTTATAAAACGGTTAGTTCCAGTCCTTGATTCTGTTTGGTCAACAGCTGTGTTTTATTCACGATAAAGCACGGCTATGTTTGTTTCACCTTAGGGTTCTGTGTATCACTGTGCAACCAACCATGTATTATGCATTTCAGCAAAATTAACTGTTTATTATTTATGTAATGAATTATGACTGACCCCTGCTGGCGTTATGTTGCGTTGTTCACATTTAATTTTGAGGCCACGCCCCTTCCCTTCAGCCCTGTTTACACTAGCAGCGACTTTTGTCGCCAGGGGCTGGCGATGAGGTTCCTAGTGGGCGTTCTCAATACTGGTTGCCTTGACAGCGAATCAGGTTTCTTGCCGCTAAGTACAAACATTTTGGAGGCAAAAGACTAAATATAATCTAAATCTAAATTAAATCCGTACATACAAACAAAAATGAATGAGAAACAGAGCCTACTTTCTTCCATTGCGTATGTTTATCCACGGCGCTGAGAGGAGAACGATCACATGAGCTCTACCGTCTTCTTTCCTATTGGCTGTTGCTGCTGAAAGTCGCTCTTCATTTGCATAAAGTTGAAGGATTCTGAACTTTTTCGCGTCGCTGGACACGCCCCATCTGGTCACCAACGGCTGCTGTCGCTCGTGTCGCCGGAAATCGCCAGCTCTCCATTGAAATTAATGGGATTGTGTCGCTGTTGCTGTTGTGTTGCTGTTGTGTGTCGCTTGTAGTGTGAACGGGGCTAAAGAAACTCTTCTCAAGCTAGCAACCTCATCGCCAGCCCCTGGCGACATGCAGCGACAAAAGTTGCTATGTTGATGTGTGCACGTATTTGTGTGGAAGCCCACAGTTTCCGAAGCACGGAGGGAATATTACTGTATTTATTACTTTTCTGTAGGCCTGGGCGATAAAACGGTATCAATATTTATCGACGGTACACCTTCATCGATAACGATATAAAAAATGTTCGATATAGCGCATGATATAGGCACGTGCTATGAGTGACGCAGACAGCTCACACAAACACGAACACATGCTGAATTGAGTGCTGTGCCTGCCTGTGATGAGGAGACGGTGAATAAAAAAATGTATATTAGTCGAATTTAAAATAAACATTTGCATTTGAATGCAAAAATGGTACAATCGAATTTTAGGAGTGTGTCAGGGAGCGTCATCAGGGGTGCGCGGGATGCAGTGATAATGATGTAAGTGACGTTGCATTTTAATGTTTTGTTAGTCTAGCCCACGAGACGCGCCGCTGCTGTGTTATTCGTTCAAAATATTAGAGAAATATAGTAGCTCAATGCGTAGAAGATCTTGATTAGGTTAAAACCGAAACCAAGCCATTCACACAGAACGCATATTCAGCACATTTTTACACGGACAAATATGACTGCTGCACTCGCGTCTCATGCAAGAGATGCAAAGAAAGTCATGCAAAGTTAAAACAGTTTTAACGTTTAGAAAACGCGATGCGAATTTGTGAAGGTTTATTTCATTTCACTGTGTCTCATATGGTTTTAAATGCAATCTGTGTGATCGGCGATTTGGCTCTTTGTATTAGGCTAAGCAATGCATGATGCTGTTTTGTTCATAATTGTTTATGCAGTTTACAAAATTGTAAAATGTTAATTTAGACGTTATGCACGTTTTTATAGACAGTTATTTGAATTGACAATTAATGCGCTGCATTATTTTGC